TGTCAGTTGAGAGATAATACCCTGAAACAAAGGGGTTCTGTATATGCTTTGAATCAGAGACCAATATATATAGTGCTATCTCCTTCATAGCCAGAATAGTCCATAAATCAGAGGTGGAAGTAGGAGAGGACCCTCTCGAAACTATACCTAGTAACCCACTTGCAGAATTTTTTTTACTTTCTATCCTGGCAACTTCAAGCTCTACTGGTTTGGAGATCATTGTCCTCAAGGGGGGGAATGCTTCGACCCGGAAGCACAACAATGGTTCTTTCTTGAATTGGAAGATGAGACTGTCACCTGGACATTTAAGCTCCATATGCAATGGAATCCAACAGGCCAGAAAAAAGGGAGGCGGTGTGTTAACTTACTGACTGGAACAATGATCCTGATTACCAAGGGAGAATTGAGTTGCTACAAGATGGCAGCAAGGAGGACTGTTTCTGGAACCCAGTAGATTTTCTGAGGTGTTTCTTAGTCCTTCCTTGCCCAATAATAAAGGCTAATGGAAAACTACATAGCAACAATAAAAAAGGGCAGAACATGGCGACCCATACCCTTTGGGAATGATTTTGGTCATTCCACCAGATAAAGAACCCAGAGCAACTGAAGTTCTCTGGCTGAGGCCAAGAGAAAGATAGCATGAGTAGTTGAAGAAGGAAGCCACAGATAACAATTACAACCTCATGAACAATTACAGAAACAAAGTGCTTTGCATATTTTCTCTTTGCTTGTTATATTCATGGTTATTTTAATTCACTACCCTTTTTCTTCTCTCTGATTTTTAGTTTATATTCAAATTGTTGGAAGTGAATTTTAACAATTTAGTCCTTAGGAAACAGAATGGGACTGTGAATGAATCTGAGGAAGAATTAATATAGTCAGCAACAGAAACAATGACTATTGGAACTTTGTGTCGTTATATTTTTAGGAAATGGTGAATACTTGTATGATGGATAGCTGTATCTTCTTAGGTAGAAATATAAAATTCTTTGTCAATGTACAAATGTTCAAAGGTATGTACAAAAGTGTATATGGAAGCTGAATAGTCAAAGGGTCATACTGTGTCAGTTAATTTGTTGCCTCTCAGCTCTAAATATATCTTTTTTATCTGTTTTGTGAAAACGGATCTGGGTCTTGTAAATGTTTTCCTTTACCAGCTGGCACAGTATTAAATTTGTCAGAGACGATGCTGAAGAGACACTAGAGGAGGAAAAGAATTTTCTTTCTGGTTCTAGATTGTTGCCTTGGCAGGCTCCTGAGACATTTCCAGTGTTCATTTCCCACAGTGCATGGTGGCCAGCAGCTTTGGCAAAAACCTCTCCTCCTTGTGTGGTTTTATAGTTGAGTAAGAAATTACCCCATGAACAACTTTCCTTGGCACCCTAAAGGGTGGATCTCTGGAAAGTTAGAGTGATAAAAACTCTCAGCAAACTAGGAATAGAGTAGAACTTCCTCAACTTCATAAAGAACATCTATTAAAAAAACTATAGCTAAAGAGTGAATTTCCAGCATCAGTGACTTCTGCCATTCAGTGACCCATGGTTGTGCCCTCTTCAATAAGGTCTGGATGTCTCCTCTGGGAGATGGTGGCTCATTCTTGGACACTCTCTCTCAGTCCTAGTGGCAGTAGCTGCTCTTTATATCTGCTATTCCTATATTCTTTAGGGTTCTCTTTATAACTTACTAGCCAATTCCTTGCTATTCTAATCCCCTGTTATAGTTAATACTTCTTTGTATTAAACTTTTCCTGCTCAAATTACTTTGTATTTTCTGTCTCCGAAGAGGATCCTGACTGACTCACTTATCTACAATGTTAATACTAATACTAAATAACCCTATTATTAAAATCAGATAATGATATTACAAGAAAGAAAAACTGCAGACCAATATGTCTCATGAATATAAAAGCAAGAATCCTCAACAGATGATTAGCAAATCAAATCCAACAGTGTATAAAAATAATTATACACCATGACCAAAAGGGATTTATTCTAAATATGCTAGAATTATTCCACATTTGAAAATCAATTAATGCAATCCATCTCATCAACAGGTTAAAGAAGAAATCATATGATCACATCAATAAATGCAGAAAAAGCACTTGGCAAAATCCAATACCCATTCATGATAAAAACTCTCAGCAAACTAGGAAGAGTAGAATTTCCTCAACTTCATAAAGAACATCTATTAAAAAAACTATAGCTAACATCATATTTACTGGTGAGAAACTGGATGCTTTCTCTCTAAGATCCAGAACAAGATAAGGATGTCCTCTCTTACCACTCCTATTCAGTATCATACTGGAAGTTCCAGTTAATGCAGTAAGACAAGAAAGTGAAAAATATACAGACTGGGAGGGAAGAAACAAAACTGTCTTTGTTTGTAGATAACTTGATTGTTTATGTAGAAAATCCCAAAGAATCAGGGCACCTGGGTAGGGCAGTCTGTTGAGTGTCTGACTTGGTTTCCACTCCAGGCGGTTTCCACTCCAGTTGTAACCTTGGGGTCACGGAATAGAGCCTGGAATCAGGCTCCAGGCTCAGCGCAGAGTCTGCTTAGGATTCTCTCTTCCTCTCCCTCTGCCCTTCCCCCATGCACACATGTGTGCACATGCCCATGCATGCTTTTTCTCTCTCCCTCACAAATAAATAAACCTTTTTTTTTTTAAAAGAAAACCCCAAAGAGTCAACAAAAAAACATCTTGGAATTAAGCAATTACAGTAAGATCACAGGATATGAGGTTAAGCCAATTGCCTTCCTAAATACCAGCAATGAACATCTGGAATTTGAAATTTAAAAAATACAATGTAATTTATATTTGCATCAAAAACTTTAAATATTTTGACATAAATCTAAGAAAATATGTACAAGATCTATGTGAGGAGAACTACAAAACTCTGATTAAATAAATCAAAGAAAATTTAAATAAACAGAGAGCTATTCCATGTTCCTAGACAGGAAGACTTGATATATTTAAGATGTCAATTTTCCCCAATGCAACCTATAGATTTAATGCAATTCCAACCAAACTCCCAGCAAGTTATTTGGTGGTTATCAACACACTGATTCTAAAGTTTATATGGAAAGCCAAAGATCCAGAATAACACAATACTAAAGAAGAACAAAGAGGACTGATACTAACCAAATTTAAGATTTACTATACAGCAATCAAGACACCAAGGTATTAATGAAAGGATAGACAAATTGATAAATGGAGCAGAATAGAGAACCCATAGACTCACACAAATATAGTCAACTGATCATTGACAAAGGGGCAAAGGCAATTCAATGGAGGAAAGGTAGTCTTTTCAACAAATGATGTTGGAACTGTACATCCATATGTAAAAAAAATGAATCTAGACACAACTTATACTCTTCACAAAAAACTAATTAATGTTAGACTTAAATGTAAAACATGAAACTATTTAACTTCTAGAATATAACAGGAGAAAATCTAGATGACTGTGGGTTTGGTGAAGAGTTTCTAGTTATGACACCAAAAGCATGATCTGTGAAAAAAAAACCTGGTAAGTTGGACTTTACTAAAATTAGAAACTTCTACTTGATGAAAGACACTGTTAAAAGACTGAAGAGACAGAATGGGAGAAAATATTTGTAAAACATTTATCTGAGAAGGAATTTGTAGCTAAAATATACAAAGAACTCTTAGAACTCAGCAATAAGAGAATAAACAATCCAATAAAAAATGAACAAAGATCTGGACACCTAACCAAAGAAGATATACAAATAAACATATGAAAGATGTTCTGCATCAGATGTCATTAGAGAATTTCAAATTAAAACAACAATGAAATTCTACTATATACCTAGTAGAATGGCAAAGTCCAAAAAACTGAAAATACCAAATGCTGGTAAGGATGAGAGGCAACAAGAACATATTCATTGCTGGTGAGAATGTAAAATGGTAAACCAATTTGGGAATTTCTTACAAAACTGAACATAATCTTACCATACAATCCAGCAATCATGCTCCTAGATATTTATGCAATTGAGTTGAAAACTTAAGTCCACACAAAAGCCTGCACACAAATGTTTACAGCAGCTTTATTCATAATCACCAAAAACTGGAAGCAACCAAGATGGCCTTCATACATCCATACAATGGGATATTATTCAGCAATAAAAAATGATCAAGTCACAAAAAGACATGGAGGAACCTTAAATGTATATTGCTAAGTGAAAGAAGCCAGCCTGAAAAGTCTACATACTGTATAATTCCAAGTACACGACATTTTGGCAAAGGCAAAACCAGAGAGACATTAAAAAAAATCAGTAGTGTCAAGGGTTCTGGAGCAAGAGGGAGAGATGAATAAGTAAAGCACAAGTGATTTTTAGGGTGGTGCAACTATTCTGTATGAAACTATAATGGTAAACACAAGGCATTATGCATTTGTCAAAACCCATACAACTGTATAACACAAAGAAGGAACGTTAATGTAAACTATGAACTATAGTTAATAATAGTAACAACTTTGGTTCATTACTTGTAACAAATTTATCACACCGATGCAAGAAGTTAATAGTAGGGGAAATTGGGGAGGGGTGAGGGTATATGAAACTCTATGTAATATCTGCTCAATTATTCTATAAATCTTTTTCTTTTTTTTTAAAGATTTTATTTATTTATTTGACAGAGAGAGACACAGCGAGAGAGGGAACACAAGCAGGGGGAGTGGGAGAGGGAGAAGCAAGCTTCCCACCGAGCAGGGAGCCTGATGTGGGGCTCAATCCCAGGACCCTGGGATCATGACCTGAGCCGAAGGCAGACGCTTAACGACTGAGCCACCGAGGTGCCCCATCTAACACTACACTTTTATTTTTTTTTATTTTTATTTTTTCTAACACTACACTTTTAAAACTAATTATTTAAAAAACAAACTAAAAGCAAAGGGACCAAAAGAAACAACTTTTTTGGTTCTAATTACAAAGGTAATATATATGCCTTATATCATATCAGAGTGATTTCAAACAAATTAATATATGGTAAGTATAAAATTTTTATTATATTAAACTTTGCCACTCTTCTTGACCTTAATACAGGCTTACGTACAGAGCAACAGATTCAGTTTGTAAACAGCAAAACATATTTCACTGAAAATCGTCCACTAATACACTTTCCTTTGTCCACTGGAGATATTAGATTCCTTCTTAGAAATGCCATGTCAACTATCATTTTAAAGTTTCTAAAATGTATGTTTTCCAATGTTTTGGTCTTACTGGTCTTATTTAATGGATCTCTGATGCTCCGGGACGTGAACAAATTATCCTATGTTCCCCACCTCCACAAGCAAGTAACAATACTTTCACCTCTAGTCTTCATAATATGATTTTTGTCTGAAGTTTATGTGCAAGATTTAGCTCCATAAATGTGGACGGAAATGCAGCTCTGACAAGTAACATCAACATCAGGACTAAAAGTCCCAGGACTACAAACCACTGCAAAGGAAAAATATGGGGTAGATTACTATCATGTCAGTTAGAAGTATTTTATACTAGTAATATAAATCTTGCCTTCAGTATCACAGTTTCTACACCTATGCTATCCTGAGTAATGTTCAGCCAATTAAGTTGTGGAAGATTATTTATGAGTTTGAAACACTGTAATTTGATGATCTTAAAGGTAGGAGAAAGTTAGAATCCTATTTTTTCCTTTAACATCAGCATTTTACAGTATCTTCTTGAGTGCCCCATTTATGAGTTCCTATTTCTAGGAAAAAGCAATTCTGTTTTCTAGATAGGACCATTCTGTTGTTTTCCTTTGTAGCATAGCAGCTTAACTCAGAACACTATAGAAATGTTTTATAAAACAGAAGAGTGCATTAGGAAGAATTAATACACATGAGGATGATTATATTTAGAAATCTGGGCTTTGAATTTTTACTTCCCTTTAACTAAATATAACTTATGGTGAAAGAATCACTATATTCAATTATCCTAAGGGAACTACTAATCTATTCTTCTGACTATATAACCTAAATAGTTAATATTTATATTTTATAATTACCGCAACAGCTAGCGCAATTACTGTGTAGACCTTCATTTTTTCCAAAGCCTGGACGACAGCTATCCACACGTATTACTTGAAAACTGTGGTCCACAAAATGCATAGCTGGTATAGTTTTATTAAAGTCATGGTAGTAAATATATGCTTGGCTCCGGAAAAATTCTTCTATCCGATCTCTTGCCTAAGATTTTAAAATACCAGAAAGAAGTACAATAACTAAATTGTGAACCAAATTTATCCTCCTGTATCAGAGGCAATGAAATATAGTATAAACATGTCATGCTTTATCCAACAGATGAATTCCTGAAAAGTTGTGTGTTAATACTAAAATTTGTCTAGCCTTGACCTTATCAATTATTGTCAATTCATATGTATAATAGTTAAGAAAAATTAAATGGAGGTTTAAATTATTTGCAGCATGTCTATTTCATGTATGGATAACTGAGAGTTCATTATTTCTAATTCCAAAGAGTCAAGCAAAATGGAAACCAAAACTGTTCTCTAATCAGCATTACAAACCAATGACATAATTTTTATTTTTATTTTTTGAACACAGAGTTTAATAACTAATATTAACTGAGTGCTTTCCCTAAGCCATGCACAATATTAAGGGTATTAATGGGCTCAGGAACTAGATCAGGAGAGTAAAGGGAGTTTTTAGACCATGCCCTTAGCCTCTGAGAATGGCAGAGGGGAAAGCAACAATTATGACCAGCAGAGATACAATTTTGGAAGAACTACTGGTTTAACCTAGGATTCCATGATTGTGAGGCTGTTCTTCAAGCTGCTACTGAGTTACCATCTGGGAAACAAAAACCAGGGACCCATCCTTCCATCATAGAAAAAATACATACTATTAACCTGGGGAGCTATATATTATTCTAGATGTATTATTCCAAAACATCTTGATATAGCCGACTCTCACAATCTCTGCTTAAAAAACTGAAATCAAATATCAATACTTTACATTTTTAAAAATAGTAATTTAAATCTACTTGCTTAGAATGTCTGTTATTAATATTCACAACATGGAGAAATCGATTTTTGAAGAAACATTTAAATTAATAAGATGAAGTATTTACAAAAATTTTTACACATCTTTATTAACTATTCAAATACTTTCCCCCTACAATGAAATTCTCACCTGGAGGATATTATGATTAGTGATATCTTCACAGTCAGCCAAATCATTGCATGCACCTTTCCACCCTGGTGCAAAAGGATTAACTGGAGAGGAAAAAAATGGTATCTTCACAAAAGAATTCTAAAAAGTTCCAACCATTCCAATAAAGCTTTGAATGCTGAATTCAGTATGTATGCATGCATGTGTTTAATCTATCTAATCCTAGTAATAAAGTGCACAATTTGAATAATTTATACGTTATGATTTCACTCCATCTGGGGGCTAATCAAAGTAACTACAATGAATGGAAATCAATTTGGTTTGGTTCCTCTCTCTTTTTTTTTTTAAGATTTTATTTATTTATTTGACAGAGAGAGACACAGCAAGAGAGGCAACACAAGCAGGGGGAGTGGGAGAGGGAGAAGCAGGCTTCCCGCTGAGCGGGGAGCCCGATGCGGGGCTCGATCCCAGGACCCTGGGATCATGACCTGAGCCAAAGGCAGACGCTTAACGACTGAGCCACCCAGGCGCCCCTGGTTCCTCTCTTTTAATAGGTTCTTTTCAAAAACACAATTTAAGTTTTTAGGAATTCATAAATTAAATATTGGCTGGATAGTATTTATGAAATGATACTGACTTCTAAAAGATAAGCAACAATACTGGGGTGCTTGGTTGGCTCAGTCGGCAGAGCATGCAACTCTTGACGTCAAAGTTGTGAATTCAAGCCCCACATTGAGCATGGAGCCTACTTAAAAAAATAAGTAAAAAAATAAAAGATAAGCAACAATATACCATTGTTTAAAGTAAATAATTAATATATTAATTTTTAAAACCTTAACCAGGCTAGAACCAACAATATACTTTAGTGCTTAACAAATATTTAAGGCTTACTATTTTGTGAGATATCTCACATTAAAGAAATGTTAATTTTTTTTCTTTACCTTGAAAGGCTATAAATAGCTCATGCATGAGGCCATGTTTGGGAATTTTAACAAAATGGCATTTATATGATGGTTCTATGACATGGCATGACAAATCAGAGATTAAATTATCCAAGATTTTCTTCAGCACTCTAAAAAGCAGGTCATTGTATCTTCCTTGACAAGACTTTGTGGTAAAACGTACAGCCATCTGATATGAATAATCAGGTTCCCGATAGGCTTTAAAAAATGATGAGAATAAAAATAATTGTGCTTAGCTTTGTGTTACTAAACAATTTGCAAATAATGTAATATTAAATCTCATTAATCTTGCAAATCAGCATAGAAATTTATCTAATAAAATATTTTATCAGTTTGTCCTCAAAAAATATACAAAACTAATAACTTTAATGAAAAAAGGTTGTTTTCATCTGATGTTATCTACTCAGTACAAGAGAAGAAATGGCTGGATATATATATAAATAAGTTAAAAGTATAAAAAAAATAAGATGGGCGAATGTTTAATTTGCAGAAAGTGTCATTGCTGTCAGCACAGTCCAGTGAAAAGGATCATCAATTTGCTTTTATAGAATTAAACATCAGTTTTAAATGACCTGGCAAAATTGTGGTAAAGTAGATTGTTCAGATGGTGGGAAGTGGGAGGCTGAAAGAGGATTATTTAGGACACAGTATCTAGATATCAATTTAAGAGTTTGCACGGTCAAATACGCCAAAATACTCCATAAGTCATAATGATTGTATACAACAGACTCATATTCACTAAATGAAGAGACCATACATTTAATTCTTAACCAAACTAAATGTATAAGTTAAAATGTGCCCATATTCTTACCAAAGATCATAAAGTCATATCTCTGCTTTACTATCGTTTCTTCTTGAGTTTCTGCTCTGACAGTCTTATAAGAAAGAGTACATGTGTAAAGTCCAGAAAAAGCCTCCAGAAAATCTTCCATCATCAGCTTTCCTGTTTTAGTTATATTTATTTGATTATTTCCTAAACAGAAATAGAAATTACTTGGTTATTTAACATATAACAATTCAGACATTATTTAGTAAACTTGGGGTTATAAATAAATACAAAATTTAAAAAATTAATGAACTATTGAACTTCAAGAATTCAAAAAAATCTTAATTCTGTTATTACTCTATGGAAAACCACAGAAGTACACTTTTAAAATATATTTTGGGGATGCCTGGGTGGCTCAGTTGGTTAAGCAGCTGCCTTCGGCTCAGGTCATGATGCCTGGGTCCTGGGATTAAGCCTGGCATCAGGCTCCCTGCTCAGCGAGGAGTCTGCTTCTCCCTCTGCCTGCTGCTCCCCCAGCTTGTGCTCTCTCTGGCAAATAAATGAATAAGATCTTTAAAAATATATATATATATATTTTGGTTTTCTTTAACTCATTTCTTGGCCTCTAATTTTTTTTCTTTAAATTTTTTTGTTATGTTAATCACCATACATTAGTTTTTATTGTTATGTTAATCACCATACATCATTAGTTCTTGATGTAGTGTTCCATGATGCATTGTTTGTGCATAACACCCAGTGCTCCACACAGAACGTGCCCTTTTTAATACCCATCACCAGGCTAACCATCCCCCACCCCCTCCCCTCTAGAACCCTCAGTTTGTTTTTCAGAGTCCATCGTCTCTCATGGATTGTCTCCCCCTCTGATTTACTCCCCTTCATTCTTCCCCTCCTGCTATCTTTTTTTTTCTTAACATATATTGCATTATTTGTTTCAGAAGTACAGATCTGTGATTCAAGTCTTGCACAATTCACAGTGCTCACCATAGCACATACCCTCCCCAATGTCTATCACCCAGCCACCCCATCCCTCCCACCCCCCCACCACTCCAGCAACCCTCAGTTTGTTTCCTGAGATTAAGAATTCCTCATATCAGTGAGGTCATATGATACATGTCTTTCTCTGATTGACTTATTTCACTCAGCATAACACGCTCCAGTTCCATCCACGTCGTTGCAAATGGCAGGATCTCATTCCTTTTGATGGCTGCATAATATTCCATTGTGTATATATGCCACATCTTCTTTATCCATTCATCTGTCAATGGACATCTTGGCTCTTTCCACAGTTTGGCTATTGTGGACATTGCTGCTATAAACATCAGGGTGCACGTACCCCTTCAGATCCCTACATTTGTATCTTTGGGGTAAATACCCAGTAGTGCAATTCCTGGATCATATGGTAGCTCTATTTTCAACTTTTTGAGGAACCTCCATACTGTTTTCCAGAGTGGTTGCACGAGCTTGCATTCCCACCAACACTGTAGGAGGGTTCCCCTTTCTCCACAACCCCGCCAACATCTGTCCTTTCCTGACTTGTTAATTTTAGCCATTCTGACTGGTGTGAGGTGGTATCTCATTGAGGTTTTGATTTGTATTTCCCTGATGCCGAGCAATGTTGAGCACTTTTTCATGTGTCTGTTGGCCATTTGGATGTCTTCTGCCCATTTCTTGATTGGATTATTTGTTCTTTGGGTGTTGAGTTTGATAAGTTCTTTATAGATTTTGGATACTAGCCCTTTATCTGATATGTCATTTGCAAATATCTTCTCCCATTCTGTTGGTTGTCTTTTGGTTTTGTTGACTGTTTCTTTTGCTGTGCAAAAGATATCTTGATGAGATCCCAATAGTTCATTTTTGCCCTTGCTTCCCTTGCCTTTGGCGATGTTTCGAGAAAGAAGTTGCTGTGGCTGAGGTCGAAGAGGTTGCTGCCTGTGTTCTCCTTTAGGATTTTGATGGACTCCTGTCTCACGTTTAGGTCTTTCAACCATTTGGAGTCTATTTTTGTGTGTGGTGTAAGGAAATGGTCCAGTTTCATTCTTTTGCATGTGGCTGTCCAATTTTCCCAACACCATTTGTTGAAGAGACTGTCTTTTTTCCATTGGACATTCTTTCCTGCTTTGTCAAAGATTAGTTGACCATAGAGATGAGGGTCCATTTCTGGGTTGGCCTCTAATTTCAAATGGTTTATGCTGGTAATCTAGTAAATGAGATTACACTGCTCTGTAGTACTACACAATTTCCTCACATAAGACAGAAATTAATAATGCTAATATTCCAATACACTAACATCATGAAAAATTACATATTAGATACTTCATCTCCAATACAGATGCTACAAAGATAAATTTTGTTTTTGTTTCTTTAAAGATTTTCTTTATTTATTTGACAGAGAGGGACAGTGAGTGAGGGAACACAAGCAAGGGGGCGTGGGAGAGGGAGAAGCAGGCTTCCCACTGAACAGGGAGCCCGATGCAGGGCTCGATCCCAGGACCCTGGGACCATGACCTGAGCCAAAGGCAGACGCTTAACGACTGAGCCACCCAGGCACCCCTGTTTTTTGTTTTTTTAAGATTTATTTATTTGACAGATTTATTTAAGATTTTATTTATTTATTATTTGACAGAGAGCGGGAGAGAGCACAAGCAGGGGGAGAGGGAGAGGGAGAAGCAGGCTCCCTGACCTGGGACCCTCGGATCATGACCTGAGCAGAAGGCAGACACCTAACTGACTGAGCCACCCAGGTGCCCCAAATTTTAGGTTTTATAAAAACTTTTGAACTAATATAGCTCTGGGAAGGATACAAAAATTACTGTTTCAGTTTTCTTCATAAATAGAAAATAAGGCACAGACCTAGATATAACACGATTTGCTATATCTAAGTATGCAGCAGGTGAAACCACAGTTAAAATTAAATTTCAATTTGTTCATCCCAATAAGTGACAGTGCTTTTCTTTAAAAAAAAAAAAAGTCCCTATCATTTAAGAAGATAGCTAAGATCAAATAAATTACCTGTTAATGGCTTTTCATTAGGCCCAATCCATAAGTAGGTGGGGTCCACTGTTTCTTTTTTAGCACGTTTAAAATCCATACAGGCAAGGATTGGGCTACTGTGATGTAATTTTACATATATTTTCACTGACAAAATAATATAAAGCAAAATTAAATTAAGAAATACACTTCCTTCCATTTTGTCCCAAACACACACTGAGTAGTTCTTTTTGGATTTCAGTATTTTAAAAATCAGCATATCATTGTAACACTTAGAATGCTAATATAAATTTCTTCTTGTAAGTTTTTAAAACTCTAGACTGATAGTATTTTTTTCTGTGATATATTTTTGTTTATAAAAATGTACATGAAATATTTAGTTCCTTTTAATGTACAGATTCAGAACTCACTTGAATCACAATTCTTTGAAGGGTTAATGGAACTGATTTAAAGATCAGAAAAGGATTTGAAATTGGTTGCAAAACTATTCTCAAGATAATCATTGTCATCCCTAAGAGGAACTTGATATTTAACAATAAATGTCCTCTTTTGGGAACAATAATCAAGCTTATGCAGGGGCATACTAGAAAGACTTTCTGCAGTTACCTATTCTGTGTTTCGGATCTGGTAGAGGCAGCAATACTCTACTTAGAACCAACGCAGTCCCACAAGATATTGATTTTAAAGTCTACTGAATGCCAGGCCCTAAACCTACAAAGAAGACACCGCCCCACAATTTGGGGGGGTAGGAAAAAGGGGAAGGGCTCCAAACATGGAGCGATCCCAAACATGACAAATGCTGTGAACTGGTCCCAAATTATCTAAAGTTAGCCGCGTGACCAATCTTCCTTGGGGAGTGTGGGAAAGTGTCATCACAGTGATAAACGACTTTTGAGCTGAGCCTTAAAGGATGTGTAGGCGCTCCAAACAGAGGGACCTGCAGTCCTGGAAATCACTCTGAGTGGGCCTCGCACATTGCAAAGCAGCACAGACACCTGGAAGTGAGGTGGCATGAGAGAAAGATCTGGATTGAATCCTAGCTCTTTACGAGCTGTGTGGCGTTAGGCCAGGTGATATACTAAGGCGTCGCTGTAAGGATGAAATGACGCGAGTGCCAAGCACCAGGCGGACATTCAGTGTACTCTCTCTCCCTTTCCCTTCGCTGGAAGAACATTAAGCAGGGCCACTGCACACCCGGCTCTTCTGATAAGACTCTGCGGGTGAAGAGGTCCTTAGTACCTGGGTGTCCCGGCTTGCCATAAATGAGGCCTTTCCCGGTACGTTCAGAAGAACGCTGCCATCCAACTGTGGAAGAAAGAAACCATTAACTTTTTAGGTAGAAGAGGAGCGGGGGCTCAGAGTGGGGCAGGGCGCAGCGAAGAGGAGGGGGCAGGACTGGGAAGGGGGGGCGAGGCGGGTGGGCAGGGGAGGGGCAGGCAGGAGGAGCCCCACCTCCAGTGAGGTACCAGAGCACCGCGGAGAGTAGGACCCACGCTCGCATCACGGCTCAGGGACTAGCGTCGCGGGAGGCGTGGAGGGGCGGGCTCCTTCCTACCTCTGCCCAGGCCCAGCGCCTCCCCATCTCTCCTCCACAGAGCGGAGCAAACCGCCGGGGTCAGCTCCCCTACTGGTCCGTCGCTACAGCGGGAGCGGACGCACAGGAGAGCGCGTGCGCGCTCTGGGGCCTCGCGCGCGGGGGCAGGGCGGGCGCGTGCTGGGTCCGAGCGTAAGAGGCGAGCGCCCCGCCCCCTCGCGCGCACGCGCACGCCCTCGTGCGAGTGCCTCGCGCCTGGCGCCATTTTCCCGCGCTCTCTGTGACTGAGTTCTCTGAGTAGCCCCCTTCCTTACCCCCGAGAGAAGGAGAGAGTAATGTTAAAGAAGCCAAGCCTTCGCGTTTCGGTTTTTTCCTTTCCTGGAGGCTGAAGAGATCCACGAGAGGAATACTGTGGATCCCAAATAGGACGATGGGGTAAGGCGAGTAAAGATGCAATTACATTAGGACCGGAGGGAGGGAGACGCGTGTGAGAATTTCCTCCTCACAGGAAGCAAAGAGCCTGTGGGAATTTCCGGTGCCTTGCATCTCATGAATTCTGCCTGAAGTTGTGTGCAGGATCTTTTCCAAATTCTTCCACCCAGTTTTTACCTAACTGCATTTTATGCCCCCCAAACGAAGAACCTGAAGATCAACCACTCGTGCGCCAACAAGGCATCTCCAGCCTTCCCACGCTAGAGGAACATTTAACCTTTAATTTCCACATCAAGTATCCGACGGCGTTGGGAGGCCCCCATGCAAATCTATCTAGGGTCCTGAAGTAACCTTGCTTTTGAAAAATGGGCGCAATCAAAAGACAAGATCCCCCAAGTGTGCTTTTCCTGTGGGGACGGATGGCAGATGAGTAAAGATCACAGAGCTCAGAAAGAGAACATGCCCGCGTCTTTCATGGTTCCTTCTTGGCGACCAGCTTGGTGGCCTGTTTGTTGTCTATTTCTTAGCAGCGGGACATCCTCAGGGTTGGTTTTGAGTAGGCTGGTGGGTAAAGAGACCAAGGTTCAGACAGGGTGCAGAATGATTATTTTGGGTGAGATCAAGAGTTTTCAGTTTTATTTCCTTTGAGCCAAGTCAGTACTTGGACTATCTCAGATGGTCCAGGAGCAACCTTTGTCAGTGATTTCATTTTTAGTCACTGTTAATTATACCTACATAGCTTAAGCCATAAGATGTGATTCGGTGAGTCAGATCCACCCATGTCAGTTACTGTGTCTAGATTCATGGTTTAGTCTCAACTGTTCCCTTCCTTCTTGAGGTGGTGATAATGAAGACAAATTTAGGCATTATCTTTAATTCCCTAGCAGTTTGACATTCCAGCTTTAGTCAAAGTACATTATAAATCCACAGTGTTTTATTAGTTTCCCAGTTATTAGAAGTAATCGATCCTTATAAATCCTGTGTGATAAACTTTGAATACTGTGAGAAGAGACTTAACCAAATGAGTAGTAGTTGTTTGTTGAAAGTACCCCTCCATTCTTTTAAAATAAACTTTTAATTTTAGAGCAGTTTTAGATCTACAGAAAATCTGTGAGTATAGTACAGAGTTCTTGTGTACTCCCACCTAGTTTTTCCTACTAATGACATCTTACATTAGGATAGTACATTTCTCACAATTAATGAACCAGCGTTGATACATTACTATTAAATAAGGCATATATTTTATTTAGATTTCTTAGTTTTTACTTAATATTCTTTTTCTGCTCCAGAATCCCATCCAGATTCCCACACTACATTAAGTCATCATGTCTCCTTATCTCCTTAGGTTCTTTTTGGCTGTGACTTTCTCAGACATTTCTTGTTTTTGATTATCTTCACAATTAATGACAATTTTGATGACATCACCTGACCTTAACTGGTTAGGTACTTTGCAGAATGCCTCTCTATTGGAATTTGTCTGATGTTTTCTCATTATTCTACTAAGGTTATAGATTTTTAGGTAGAAGACTATAGAGATAAAGTGCCATTCCCATAACATCATATTAAGGGTATATACTATCGTTTTAACATCATATTAAGGGTACATACATACATACACGTTTTATCACTGTTGATGTTACCTTGATCACCTGGCTAAGTTAGTGTTTGTCAGATTTTTCTACTTGAAAATTACTCTTTTCCTTCCCTTACATACTGTACTCTTTGGAAGGAAGTCACTATGTGAAGCCCACACTAAGGAGTGGGGATTATGCTCCACCTTCTTGACGGTGGAGTAGCTACATAAATTATTTCAACCACCTGCTTTTTATCTGTTCTCCTAAGTACCGTTCTCTGGAGTCTGAAATACTCCATTTTGAACTAATTATTTATAGAGTAGTAACACGTTCCACTGCTAAGTATAATAACAGTTTTTACATCCTTTTAACAACCAAATAACTATTCATCCTTAAACCATCCCTGTGAAATTTTACAGTTCCTCTTCTGCTACTTTTGATGTGCTATTTTTGCTTTTAGAAACTAACAAACAACAAATTTCCCCTTTCAATACTATAATTAGACCTGGTGTTTAGAGTATTTCTCCAAAACTGATATTATCCTGTAGAACTCCAACCCATACAATCTACAGAGATACTACCATGGTGTCATGATCTTAAAACAAAGCCAATGCAAGTTATTTACTCATTAAAAAATATCACCCACCACACATAAATGTGTATGTATATAGATACACACACGTATGTTGGCCTTCTATACCAAGGCATATTTAAAATAAACTAAAATTCATAGATTACAACATGGACACTTTAACTTGTAAGTGTGGGTTTCTTCTGATATGGTCTGCTGAAGCACAACCCCCCAAACTTAAGTCTGAATTATATTTTTATACAGTAATAATATAATTTTCTAACAAGGGTGGAAGTGGCCTTTTTGAGTATCATTCACATGTCCAATTCAACACAATGGGTATCTTTATAAGGATTCACCAGAACAATGTCCCTTAGACTTCAATGTAAAGAAAAATCCTGCTTTTGAAAACTTGTTATACGGGCACTTCCCCTTTCCTTTTCCTATAGTCAAATCTGTGCTTTACCTCTATAAGGCGGGAAGGATGTTAGGGAAAGATGTTGACTGGTATGTTTCTGTGCAGTAACATCTTTGAGTTAATTTTACTATCTTATCACATCCTCCCCTTAGTTCTATTTTCTTTACTTACTTTTCTGATATATGTATGTATATGTATTTTTGTAAGCTGTCTCAGATCCTACTTGGAAGAAGGCAGAGTAGTAGAAAATAAACACATGGAGTGCACAGTATTTTGTGAGTGGTGGCAAGCAGTTCCCAGAAGGGAAAACAAAAGTGAGAGAATTTTTGCTTCCCGAAATGAAAAAGTTGAGTTGATAAAAGTGCCCAAATCCTTTTGAACTGTCTTAGAATTTTCTGAAAACTTGGAACAAGAATTATCATGTGAAAAGAAAAACAGAGAAGAACATAATACTTCGAATGGAGTGAGTTCTCTTTGACGGTATTCATGGCTATCATCCCCGAGTCTAGACCAAAAGTTCCAGATCTTGTTAAATTTAAGACAAACCTCTTTGAACTGAAACTTGTAAGAAAACAATACAGATCGTCCCTCCTCCCCCCCCCCCATATTACTCTCCCATCCATTATCCTTCTTAAATAGACACTTTGGGACAATTTACTGATGCGCCATTTCCATCCTATCTGGTTCTCGGGTTTGACATTCAAAAGGGGGCTGGAGGTGCGGAACCTCGGGCGCTCCGCGGCGAGCGTGCTTTAAAGCCACCGCCAGCCAGCGCCGCTGTAACCCCGCGCACCGGCCGGTCGCCGGCTCCTGCCCCTTTCAATCTGCGCCGACGCGGCGGCCGGATCCCGGGGACTCCCCGCGCCGGGAATCTCCCGCCAGCTGCGCGCTGCGTCCCGGCGACGGCAGGAGCACGTGGAGCGGCCGGGTAGCCAGAGCGCAACTCCAGCCCAGCCCAGCCCGGCGGCGAGATGGAAGGTGAGCCTCCAGCCTGCTTCTTTTCTAAGGGGTCTTTGAAAAGCTCGACCGGTGCATGCAGCAGAGAGAGTTCCTTCTGAATCTCGGTTTTGCTTCTATTTATTTCTTTTGTCAAAAGTAAATACGAGGCATTTCAGAAGGCAAAGCTTGTCGGTTCTCATACATCTCTCATACTGCTCCCCCCCCAGCCCCCTCCTAACTTTGGAAAGTGATAACTTCTTCTCAATTTTATGTCTTAGGGGTTGTCAGACATGAGGGGTCAACTCGAAGTCTGCAGAGGAAGAGTACTTATGGGGCGTCCCTGAAATGGCAACAAACCTGGGTTGGAATCACTGAGCCTTTTGGATGCTTATTTCGTCCATGGCCTCAGTGTCCATTGGAATTATACTAATCTGAGTGACTTCTTTAGAATGAAACGTGACAGTTTTTTTTTCTAATAAGAGTAAATGCTGTCATATGGGAAAGGTAAATTTTTAAGTGGTTGGCACTGGTGGTTCCCTTGGAACTCTATCTTCTAATGATCCTTCTTTACCCAAAGGCTCAATTAAAAAGTTTCATTTGAATTAATTTTGAAAGTCGTGAAACTCCTCACTTCTCAAAAAATTTCCAGTATATACTTACTTGGGATAACTAAAATTTCACACTGCTATTGTAAACTTATCAGTGGTCTTTTCAACAAGTGTTTGTAAAACCTTGAAAATGGCAGATGCTTTTCAAGTTGGGGAAGGTGGTGATATTTCGAAGATCAGAATTTGTGAGAAACATTTTCTTTCTCTTAATAAATGAGATACTGACACCTAATAAAAATGTTAATTTGATAAATATTATGAATAGCATGGATTGTTTCATAATAATCAAGGATCTTCTGTTGCCAATGAACCTTGATCTTTGGCAACTCTAAGTCTAGAGTATATGAATTTATTTAAATTTGATTAAGTACTTTGGGACACAAGATACAGGTAGTAGAGCTTCCCCCCCGCCACAATCTAATTGAATGCAGTATTGTGGTCCTGAATCCTCACTTTGTACATGGCTATGCCTACAATTTTTCTAACTGCCGTGGCCCATATAAGTTTTTTTTTCTTGTAGAATGCCAAACAAGTCAATGAACAGTATGTGTTTAGTATGGATATGGAAACTTAAATGGCCATTATGAATAATGCTTCAGGTGTTTTCTCTTATGAAAAACTATGCTGTTAAATTTTAAATTATTGGGGGTTTAAACTAGCTCTAAAAATTGACGTTGTGAATATTTAAAAATGGTTTATGAAGTGTAATTGTTAACATGTAAAGGTCTGGTTGGCCAAGAACAGGGAAAAAATTAGGTCACTGTACATTATAAAAAATAATTTTAAAAATTCTCATGCTTTAATATTAGAGATGAGTTGCTGAATTTATTTTTGTGAAGTTTAAATCAATATCCAACACTATTTTTTCTTAATCATTTCAGTTCTCCGGACTAACATACAGAATAGTGTAAATCCGTGGAAACAAAGTGTTTCCCTGTAAATGTTAATACTCCTGAATTCAGGGCGCCTGGGTGGCTCAGTTGGTTAAGCAACTGCCTTCGGCTCAGGTCATGATCCTGGAGTCCCGGGATCGAGTCCCACATCGGGCTCCCTGCTCGGCAGGGAGTCTACTTCTCCCTCTGACCCTCTGCCCTCTCATGCTCGCTCGCTCGCTCTCTCTCATTCTCTCTCTCAAATAAATAAATAAATAAATACTCCTGAATTCATTTAATGTGAAATAAAGAAATTATTAGCTAAATAGCATAATTTGGGATAGTAATACCCCTAACAAGGACTTTTAGATAAGCCTGAATAGACTGTCTAAATAAGAAAGGAATGAAAACTTGTATAGAATTTGAGTTAGAACGTACAAACTATAAATGGAAAGAGATGGAATATAGAATATAGGCAGTGATCAGTTGTGAGTTTAGATGTCTAGATTAAATTCATAGGTCTATAGAGATGGATGGTATATAATATGCTTAATGCAAAAACTTCACTTAAATTAAAAAATACAATTTAAAAAAGATTAGTGATGTGAATTTGGCTGTTCTAACATCAGGTCCTTGAGGATGGAGTAGTTGATGTAGTAAAATATCTAGTTCATTATAGCCACCTGAGATTAACTGGCCCATGTGTTTGATATTTAAAATATTTTTTAAATTATCTTGACATTTTGGCCTTAATATACAGAGATTCGAACGACTGTGTATACCTCTCGTTTCTTGGCAGTATGAGAAAGCAGAATACTTTATGGAATACCTTTATTTTCTGCCTAATTTGGTGGTCAGATTAACATGCTACAGTTTATTGTGAAATGTGAACCTGTTTAGTCATTCCTTCAGCATATAAAATCTGTCTTAAATTCATTCTTCAACAAACGTTTATTGAGACATTCTGTGTGTGAAGATGTCAGATGAAATAAGCTTTTGAAATTGATATTTTGTCATGTAAAAATGAAAAGTTAATACATATAAATCAGGAGCTATAACTTTTTTCTTTTCTCAATCTGTAATCCTAAATATTTTCTATCCAAAGACTCTTGATGTTGCTAAATTTTGTTATTTGTGTTGTAATAACAGTAGTTCTTCTGTCTGTTACAGTTAAGAACTGAGGTGGTTCACAAATACGAATTTCATAGGTATTGACATGTTTCTCTCATTTAATATAAAACCTTTCTATTTAAACAATATTGGCTAGAGATCTTCCTAAGTGTATTTATTACACAACCCCCTGTCTTATAAGCAAGGTACACAAGAGATCCTTTTATCTTGTGACCCTAGGTTACTATTCTAACCATCAGGTGATGTATTATTATTCTATAATATATTCTCATAGGGGTTTTGAACTGTGCAGAGTTGAATGCCTCCACACTAAATATTCCAGGGTTATTTGTCTCCTTCTTGATGTCAGCTTCTGCTTCTTACCACATGGCTTTTGTGGAAGCCATTTTTCATTTCTAAGTCCCTTTCTGTGCTCTGGATGGTTGAGTTTTACAGAGATATAGCCTCCAAATGGTGGAGTTTGCCAGCCCTCCATTATGAGCATATGAAGGATGAAATGGTAAAGTTCAAAGGAACAAAAGCTACAGAAAGGCCACAGGATCTTGATGGAACATAATTTTAGAAAATTCCTGTTTGTGCTTCCTATGATCCAACATGGGATTTCACACTTCCATGTCTTCACTAAAGTCTTCAGCCCATTCTTTACTTGGTTATGCCTACTTATCCTTCAAGAATCTGCTCAGGCATCATCACCGTGAAGGCTCTGCAGATGCCCGCCTTTTGATGACCTTCTCTGATGCCTTCTGGTGGTCACCCTACTGGTCCCTCACCTTCCTCCACCTAAGCTAAGTGATTTTCCTTTCTGTGCATACTTCTGCCAATTGTATTGAAATTATTTATTGATTTAAATATTTATTCCCCCCACTGGTCTTTAAGCTTCTAGAGGGCAGAGAATATGTCTTATTTTTGTGTGCTCAGTACCAGGAATAGTTCTTGGTTCATAAAAGACCTTCAGAGTTTGTTGCCTTCAATTAAGAAAATAATGCTGAAGGGATGCCTGGGTGGCTCAGTCAGTTGGGCATCTGCCTTTGGCTCGGGTCGTGATCCCAGAGTCCTGGGATCAAGTCCCACGTTGGGGGTCCTTGCTCGGCAGGGAGTCTGCTTCTCCCTCTGCTTCTGCTGCTCCCCCTGCTTGTGCTCTCTCTCTCTCTGACAAATAAATAAATAAAATCTTTAAAAAAATAGTGCTGAAAAGCAATTTTGTTATGTTTATTATGATGCCTTTTTATTTAATTTTTATGAGTAGGAGATTGGTGCTAGCAATTCTTTGCTAGGACTCAGAAAATTTTAAAAGTACTTAATTAAACAGTATAACAGAAAAAGAAAGCCAAGGAAACAAAAATGTTATTGGGTATTTTTGGCTAAACTATCCCTAAAGTCAAATCTTATCTATTAACTTTATATTGGTAGATTTCAGGATCACATATTAGTCCATTAAAATATGGATCATATAGCAGAAATTTGCTTTCTCAACCAGTAAGATATAGATGATACCATAAAATTAGCATACAATTTTCCAGTAATACTTTTGTAATACATTATTGTAAACTTGTCAATATATTAACTGTATATATTCACTTATTTAGGACTAAAAGGTTATTCATAGATCTTTTATCAGACATCCAGTGTTAATAGGATCCTGACTCAAGCTGTAGTTTTAGACTATGTATGAGAAGAACTGAGAGATTAATACAGAAACCTGCCTGTAGTAGGTGCTCAATAAATGACTTTTTGTGCTAAGGATTCATTTATTATTTTGAAAAGAGATCCTAAACATCACCAGGACATAGAGATCACTCTGTTATCTAGCCTTTTAAAAATACAACTTTTTAAAAACCATAAGGATGACTCTAAGGTCTTTTGAATCATTAAAAAAAAGATGAAATAATAATTATATTTCTATTATATGTAGATTATTTTAAATATGATCTATGTATAATTATTAGTTATTATTACTATATAATTATCAAAATACTTTAATCCCCAGTGATTTTGAATGAGATTATTTTTCAGTATTAATTGAAATCTGCTTTCTGTATCCAAAATTAAAGTTCTTAAGAGTCCAAAGTGGTGTAGAGTAAATCAAAATAAAATGAAGTTGATACCGTATTATAGTGGATATGTGTTCCACTTAGGAGAGATTAAAAAAAAGTAGGTGTTTGGGGCGCCTGGGTGGCTCAGTCGTTAAGCGTCTGCCTTCGGCTCGGGTCATGATCCCGGGGTCTTGGGATCGAGCCCCGCATCGGGCTCCCTGCTCCGCGGGAAGCCTGCTTCCCTTCTCCCTCTCCCACTCCTCCTGCTTGTGTTTCTCTCACTGTGTCTCTCTCTGTCAAATAAATAAATAAAATCTTTAAAAAAAAAAAAGTAGGTGTTTAATAATGAATATGAAACAGAATAAAATGTATTTATGGAACAGTACTCTTTACTC